CACCTTTTGCTGATTATGTAATTTCAGGGTATAGACCCAAGATTATTCAACTCCATTTTTTTCACGTTTTCTTTTATATTACATTTGAGTTATGTAGATGTCTTCCTAGATTTTGCCCAGGTCGTTAGAGTTAGTTATATTTTATTAACTCTTATGCTCCTTTATGGAAACATTTTCCATCCCGTGTTCACACGTGCATAGAAAGGACCAGAACTTTATCTAGCGCAGAAAGAGGCAGGGATGTATACGGCGAGCACTTTTCCACCACAGGAAAGAGATTCACAAAGTCGGATAATGCCTGAAATTACGCTTGGAAATGATGGGAACCTGTATAAACACACAAGCTGTGGTTCGTGTTGGAAGGAAAGGTCCCTGCCAGAGGGAAGGCTAAGGTGCGAAGGTCACTGTGGACGGTAGGTCCCTCCTGGTGAGTGTCCGCCCCAGCTCTGACCTCCGTGTATCAGGGAGGAAAGGAAGGAGAACATGTGGGAGGACACGCGGGACTGCGCTCAGCACCGGTCCCCGTGGGAGGCTCCTTCTCTGTGTGCGGGGACGTCCAGCCCGTGTCTGCTCCACAGAGGAGAGCCAGCCTCGCCTTCTGTCCCGGACACAGTCCGTGTGGCGCTGAGGTTGCCATGAGGGGACAAGCAAAGGCAGAAAAGGGGAGGAGGTGCGTTCAGAGGGGCGTGGAGGGATGTGGTCCTGGCAGGGCTGTGCCTGGGGACACTGACCAAGGACAGCGGCTCCTCGCCAGGGTCCAGGGGAAGTCAGGACTCTCCTCCTGTGCCTGAGAGTGACAGTGTGTTAGGGCTGGGAGGAGCCGGTGAATGACCAGAAGGGACAGCATAGGTTTGTGGTTCCTTGGAGAGGCAGAAAAGGCAACATGGGGAGGAGCAGGGGAGGGAGGAGCACTCGTGGCATTGAGGAACCACCATGGGGTCTGCACACAGAGCCCTGCCCTCCAGGGCCCCTCAGGGACCTGCAGAAGGGATGGGATGATGGCTGGGGCTGTGAGGCAGCTGGACAGACACTGAGAAGCCATGGGGAGATTGACCCTGTCACAGTGCAGTCCTGACTCAGCTCAGTTTAGACCAGTGTCTGCTCTGTGGGCTCACATGGCTGTCACCTGTCACCTACCTTGTACTTCCAATGTGGGACAGTCCTGCCACCTCCATACTCTGAGGACACAGTGCAGTCGCTTTTGCATTGAAAGATCCCTGTGCCCCCCTGTCCTCCCTGGTGCTCTGGTCACTCTGGGCAGGGACCTGCCTGTGCTGACTGACGCTGCTGCTGCTGCTCAGGTCTCCACAGTGGGAGCAGGTGGCCTCTCAGGATCCCGCCCGGGCTGGGGAGGGGAGGGGGTCACCTCACTGGTAGTGGGGACAGGGACCTGCCTGTGAGCTGCCCTTGCACAGCTCAGAGTGTTGTCCTGTGAGTGTATACGACATGCGAGTGTCCATGGAGCCCTGTGGGGACACCCAGCACCGCCTGCTGCACTCCCCACTGTTGACAGGGGACACCTGAGTCTGCCCTGTCCTTCTTGGTGGGTGGAGTCACCTCGTGCAAGTGTGACCCTGCCACGTTCCTCTCCAACCCCTGATGGGACTGTGGCCTGGACAGAGGACTGGTTTGGGTGGAGAAGGAAGAGATGGCCTGAATCTCCCACGGGCTGAGGGAAGCCCAGGCACCGAGTGTCTCCATGGCCAGAGCTCTCCCCCCGGCAGGAGAGTCACACATGTGTGGGGTCATCACACCCAGTCCCACAAGAGGAGGCTCAGCCTTTTCACTCCTGGGAGCCCCTCAGTTTCACTCTCTTGTCTGACTCGCAGCGCCCCCTGCTGGCCACAGCCTCGAACGCTCTGCGCATGTGCACTGCACAGCTGAGTCCTCCTGGCAGATGAACCTGCTTCTGGCCCTTTGCCCACCTGGGAAAGGTAGTGGGGTGCGCTGGAGCGTTTGCTCCCCAGGGGCCCTCGTGTGGGGACCAGGGACTGCAGGGATCCACAGGTCGCCTTCTCCATCCCCTGCCTTGGACTCGCCACCCCCTGCAGCGACACAGTGACCCCACGGTGGCAGGTCATGGTTTCTACCCTAAATTAGGCTTTCCACACACTCTGCTCACACCTTCATAATGTCCCCCTTTATTGAATTTGTGTGTATTCACTTTATTTTCAGTGCAACGGCCTTTCCTGCAGGACCCTTAACTAACACTCCCAATCATGTTTGGATCACAGACAGACTAATTTGTGCATATAAACTAACTGTACCATGCAAGAGTCAAAACTCGTCAAGACACTTGTTTCCACTGGAAAGATTCTGTGTCCTGAGTGAGGAACAGCTGTCCACATACAAGTGACAAGATACAGAATGTCCTCTTAGCCATAGTGCTGACGTCCTCCAAGTGATCCGAGCTCCATGGAAGGGCTGAGCCTCTCACAACGGGGCATAGTGGCTGAAGTTTCCCCACAGGTTCCGACACGAGCAGTGAGGGCCCAGCGACCTCCTGGGCTGGTCCTCAGGCTGCGACCCAGATGTCAGCTGGAAAGGGCTAATTTTTCTTGTTTCAAGAGGGAGAGTTCAGCTCCAGAGACTCTGGATATAGGACAATTGAATAAACAGGCATTTCAATGTCATCAGGGTATTTATTTCTCCATTTCTGAGAATTCAGAAATATCAAATGGAAAATTGACAGTAGAGCCGTTTTGAAACTGAAAGTGCTTCCAAGTCGAACGCGCCTTTATCACAGTTATTGTAAAATTTGAAAATTATCATCAGATGAGACCCTGCACAGGCTGGGGTTTTCGTCCCACTTCCCCATCCGCCTGTGTCACTGTGAGAAGCACTGTTGTGCCACACGGCACAGTAATAGTCAGCCTCGTCCTCAGGCTGCAGCCCAGAGACGTGCAGAATCCCTGCGTTGGCCGAGGCGTCTTTGGAGCCAGAGAAGCGGCTGGGGACCCCGGAGCCCTGGTGCTTGTCTGAGTCTGTGTGGTAGTACAGCAGGTACCGGGGCGGGCTCCCTGGCTTCTGCTGGTGCCAGGCTATAGCATAACTGCCAACACTGAAGCCACTGCTCAGGGTGCAGGTGAGTCTGGCTGATGCCCCAGGAGATGCAGAGAGGGAGGGTGGCTGAGTCAGCACAGGCTGGGACAGGGAACCTGCAAACAGACACAATGGATGATGGGACAGTGATCAGGGTTAAGCCTGGACTTAAGCCAGAAGAGACAGAATGGAATCGGGGCTGCCCTGGGTCTCCCAGGCCTGTCCCTACCTGTGCAGTGAGAGAGGATCACGAGCAGGACAGGAGCCCAGGCCATGGTGCACACAGCCCCTGGTCCCCACAGTGGGGCTGGGCTGCCCAGGCCTCCTTTTGTCCCCACCCTCTGCAGAGGAGGGGCTGCTCATGCAAACGCGTTTCCATCCAGGGACTGCCCAGCCCCTCCCTGAGCCCTGGGCTGGAGCTCAGCTCTCACTGCACACTGAGGAGGGGGCTTTGCTTTGCCCCTTGGGGGAGCCCTGGGAGGAAGCAGCTGCTGGGACCACACAAAGGGCCCTGCTCAGGGGACTGTGCCAGGCCGGAGAGGACACAGCTGCTGAGTCCACATCAGTGAGCACAGGGCACAGCCCCCAGACCAAGGCTCCTTGGAGTCACTGGTCCTCCTTGAGCAGCTGTGTAGGGACCACAGGGCAGTCCCCCAGCGCCCCCTGCTGGTCACAGGCACACACCTCCCCATGGCCCAGAGACCTGAGAGCCCAGCTGGTCTCTGCAGCTCCCCAGTCACTGTCTGTATTGACACAGGCGCAGTCTGTATCTTACAAACTGTGATCCTAATGCTGGTACTCTGCGTGGAATCACTGTCGTTTCTCACTCCCAGAAGGAATCTTGGACTATGAGAGGAGCAAACATGCATATAAATTCACATTCTCAGCCCCTCACATAGCATGCTGCAAATGTAATAAGGCTTCCTGGTGTATTGTGTAATACATACATGTGTTTCTACTGTTTCTTGGCCGTTAGTGATAATGGAAATGTTTTCCAACCACTCTCACATGAGTCGATTTGTGTCTTACTCTCCTGGTTCTTCACTGTTGCCATCGCTGTGCTAATTGTCACCATGGAGGAGGCACGGAGCACCCTGAGGTGGCACCTGTGGGCTCACACCTGCCACGTCGCACTGCAGCAACGTGCGGCTGGCGCTGCGCCCTCAGATCCCGTGTCGTCAGCCCCACGTCCCCTCTCCCGCGCTGAGTCTCTGCTCTGTGGACACTGAGCCCACACGCCATCCTACTGTCCTCGCGTGTGTTCTCAAGAGAGTGTTTGGGGGGCTTCAGTTGAGCAGGTGAATCTGAGATATCCGCGATTCACACAGTGAATTTCCAGCATGAAGTACAACGCTTTACTGACAAGTGACTGCCTTACGATTTCTAAGTTCCATGGAGTGTCAGTGACACCCACCCACGCAGCCACCCTCGCTCTGCAGCGACTGAGCTCCTGTCTGCCGTCCTCGGTGCCCGAATCTGCTCCTCCTCCCGCCGCTCCCATGGAGCTGCGCTCCGGCCCTGCCGCCCGTCCAGTCCTTCTCCGCTGTCTCTGCAGGAGCCCGGGGACCCGCCCGGCTCCCGGTCACTTCCCCAGGGCTCACGCCCACGTTCCTCTCCTGCTCTCTAGACCCCGAGGGCAGCGCTGCCATTACCAACTTCTTCGTATGAACTCAGAACTCTGAACTGAGATGTCCACGGCGAAAACTCAGCATGTTTGCCTCAGACCTGAGGCTCTTCCTGGGGGTGGCGCTGAGGGGACGGCACCTGGTCACTCCACGGACGGTGAGAGTGTCCCAGGCGCCGGGCCGAGCTCTGAGCTCGGCGCACAGAGGGGAGGAGCGGGAACCAGCAGGAGGGGACAGCCCTGTGCGTGGAGCTCAGGCTCCTGTGGGGACACGCAGTGAGCACAGACGCAGCGCCGCCCTGGGCACGCGGAGCCCTGACAGCGGACGCCCCTCGGCCGCGCAGGACGTGGGCGCCGAGCCCACCCTCTCCACGCCCTCAGGCCTCGCCTCCCCGACTGCCCGTGCTGAGTGCAGGGCCGCCACCGCTCTCCTGGCCGCTCGGCCCGGTACGACGTGTTCGCCAGGTGTCCTCACTTCATTCCCTCTTACACAGCGGAGGACGCTTCACCCGCGTCTGAAGACAGCGCCACTCTGTTCCCAAACACCCCAGGCTCTTTCCCCGAGAACAAAGCGTAAAACATTCAGTGTCTCATTCCACTGTCTCTGGGCCTGGCCCCTCAGTTCTTCCCCAGCCCTGGTCCCCAGCCTCTGCCCCTGGGCCTGGACACAAGCCCGTGCAGGTCCCCATGGAAATATGTCACTGACCTGGGCCCGCAGTGTCCCCTTCCCTTTCAGCACTTCTGCTCCTCCTGCCCAGCCTGTGCCTCTTCCCAGTGGGGATGTTTATTTCATTGTGTGGAATTTACCAGGAACCCCCGCAGATGCATCTCTGCCCACCCATGTGCACGTTTCCCCACGGAGAATGGACTGAGAGCGACACTAAGCATGGCGCAAGATCATGATCCATACTGTCAACCTCTGGTTCCCTCATTGGCTATACCTTCCAAAGTGTGTTTGTGTATCGTGCTCCTAAGTTCCCTAAACATTTAATCTTTCCAAAACGATGAAAGGATATCTGAGAGGAAAGATGGAATATCCTCCTTGCATTGGGGCAGGGTTCAGCATCTTTGGAGACTCTGTGGCATTTGAGTTCCAGGTTGTCTTTAGTCAGGGTAACTGGGGAAATGGGACTCACTAGGGAGTCTGGAGATCTATTTCTTATGATCATGTAATGTAAAAACTCTGATAAAGGATAGTTTCATCTTACCCATAGATAAGGGGATTTAAGCAAGGCTCTCAACTTTACCGTGTTATGGGAGATAATCAAAAACATCCACGGCATGGATGGCCCAGCCACATCTCCATATTTTTGCAATTGTTCAGAGAAACTTCCCAAGGATTCATGGGTTCATGGACACCTGTGAGATCTGGCCTTTCTGTGTGGTCACAACAGAGGGAGGACGCAGGGGTTTGATGTGACGCAGCGCCTGCTCATGCCGCGCACACACTAGCCCTGGACTCTCTAGGACGCCCCGGCCGCCTCTGAGTGGTCAGCGAGATGCCCAACATCTCGTCCTGCAGACAGTGGAGCCCGAACTTGACCATCACAATCCCGTAGGGCTTCTCCTCTCATCCTTACCGTCCACTTTGCATCCTGGAGAAAATTCCCATGTTTGAACCATCCTTGACAGCCATTCAAAGTAGGGTCATCTAAATGTCCCCATGTCCCCTGATGAGAGAGCGTGATCCCTGCAGAGCTTCCTCTCCTGTGTAGGGAATGCTTCCCTCTCGGAGGGTGGCACACGCCCCTTCCAAGTCTTCAGTAGTGCAGGGAGTGATCTTCCAGTCCACAAAGTGCCAACAGAAAGAGCACACACCCACTGCTGGGCCCATCTGTGCATGTGTGTGTGTGTGTGTGTGCATATATGTGTTCCCTTCTATGAGGTCACATAGTCCTGTTCTGATTGTTGTTCAGTGTTTCATGTCTGCAAAGAGTTGTTTCCTGTAATCGGTTCTGTCTTGTGGCTGTTCGTTATATAAGGGCTGGACCTGCTGCCATTTATTGCATTATGGCAGCAGCAGCACCAGAAGCCACAGGCTGGGCCTGAGCAGCAGCTGCCGGCGTTCACCCTCCTGTGGGTGAGGACGGGGTTCTTGTCGCACTTCCCCGTAGGCCTGCAGCACTGTGGAGCATCAAGACTGCTGTCATAGGACTGGCAGTAATAGTCAGCCTCGTCCTCAGCCTGGAGCCCCGCGATGGTCAGGGAGGCCGAGCTGCCAGACTTGGAGCCAGAGAACCGGGCAGGGACCCCCGAGGCTCTATCGCTGTTATAATAGATGAGGAGTTTGGGGGCCGTTCCTGGGAGCTGCTGGTACCAGTGCGCATAGCTACCCTTGATGTTGCTGCAGGAGATGGTGACGCTCTGCCCTGGGGCTCCAGACACCGAGGGCGGCTGAGTCAGCGCAGACTGGGCCCAGGACCCTGGAAGGGGGAGACACACACATGGTGACTCTGGGTCTGGAGACAAGAGGACAGAGCAGGGCCCCACGGTCTTCCCAGGGCCCTTCCCTGGCCCGAGTCAGCTCACCTGTGCAGTGAGCCAGGAGGGAGAGCAGGAGCGGGGCCCAGGCCATGGCGGGACTGTCCCGAGTGCTGCCTTCTGTGCCCGCAGCTGCAGCAGCTTCCCCAGGTCTGTCCTTCCCCTCTTCATACCCTGAGAGGGGAGGCTCCTCCATGCAAATGGCCTGGCTTTCTGCCCCCCCTGGGCCCTGGTCAGGCCCCTGTGCCTGAGGGTGTCAGCGGTGGGCGGGGGCGGGGCCAGGGCTGTGTGGTCCCAGGGGGTGGGGAGGTCACAGCTGTGCCCTGAGCAGAGGGCACCAGGCAGGGCAGGTGGCTGGTCCCGGCTCTGATCACCCATAGACACCTCAGCAATGGGTTTTGTGCGCCCCCTGCTGTCCACACCCTGACACACCATCACGGGACATGGTGACCAGTCCCCCAGAGCCAGCCCAGCCTCCGCCCAGCTCTGTCCACTGCCCTTGCCTCAGGCCAGGACAGGGTTGCTCCTGTGGCCTCCCCATCCCTCAGAGCCGTCTTCTTGCTCTACCGGTTTCCTCCGGGTGAACGTGTGCACGGCTCCCTGGGCCGTCCCTGGGTCAGCACGGAGGTGGGGTCTCCACGCACGGTCCTTGCATGTCAGGACCAAGTCCGCAGCAGGAACCCGCTTCCGCAGCCCTGGGCCTCCAGGTCCTCTCCTCATGAGGTTTCTCTGTGGTGGCCAGAGCTCTCCCTGCCGTGGGCCCCGCAGTGCTGGGGAGAAAGGAGCTCTCGTGCCGGGCGGGAGGAGACGCGAGGCGCGGTGTGCAGGGGCTGTGCTGTGGACGTATTGATTGTCTGTGTTTCCAGAGACGGGAAATCAGAGTCAGTCTACACTCAGAGCGAGGATTCGCCTCTAAGAATCTTCCGGCCAAGCTCAAGGCTGCAGGGCCGCGCCCAGTGAGGACGCTCACGACATTTTACCTAAGAAGCGTTCGGGCAAACACGCTGTGTGCGGAGAGAACGAGTGACAACTGTGGGTCCCGCCCAGCGTGCCCGGGCCTGCGTGAGCCTCCTGCACGGGGCCGTGCGGGTCCAGCTCTCCACACAGGGCACTGAGGATACAAGATGTGTGAGTGTGTGTGCGTGTGTGTGTGAGTGTGTGTGTGTGAGTGAGTGTGTGTGTGTGTGAGTGGGTGTGTGTGAGTGTGTGT